CTGCTGCTCGCTGCAAACACCACACACAACAGTCACGTCCAGTCAGGTCCAGTCAGGTCAAGAGACACACACGCTCTGCTCCACCCTGTGATGTCACGCGGTGATACAGGAAGTGCTCCACTGTGTTTTGAAACTCCACACACCTGGATCAGTCTCCAGCCTGTTTCCTCAGGTGAGTGACCTTCAGTGTTCACTCTTTTTCACTGACACATTTTAAAACCTTTCCATGACTTTTTCATGACTAAAGTGAATTTTCCATGACTTTCCAGCACCTCCATGTGTAGAACTGATGATAGTTTTAGTTCTAAATCTGAAACATGAACTCTTTCCACTCACCTTATGTTTTGAGACGATGTTTTTTGAACATTTTAAATCCTGTCGGTTCATTTACTGTCGACAAAAGACTCAGACGTTCATAAATAATCAGACTGTATTTTTCATTCTATAAGTGTGACTTTTGTTGGTGGTTTGTGTGTTTCCTGTGACTTATTCTCGGTGTGATTCTATATTAAATGTTTTTGGTGAAGTGTGGAGGGGTTCTACTCTTGTGTGAAACGTGAAGAGTAAAGGAACGGAGAAGCTGGAAACGTGAGTAAAAGTAATTTATTGTTTTATCGTTATTTGTTTCACGTTGTAGTTCTTCTTCTTCTTCACTTGCCGCTTGATCGGTCCGTCGGAAAATACAGTCCCACGGTCACTTCTGTTGTGGCTTTTTAATGTGTTGTGGCTTTTTGTTGTGTTGTCACGTGTGTATTTGTTGTGACCCTCTCAGCTTCTGATGTTTTTATTACAACTTGACTTTACACAGGAAACGTTTGCTCCTGATCTCATTTTATAAAATACATTTCCCCTAAAAAGTGCCACTTATAGATGTTTTTTTTATTCTTTATGACGCATATTTTGGCTGGACCGACTTATACTCTGAAAAATAGGATAATAGTCTCATGAGAATTTAACAGAACGCTGGAGTTGTGTGACAGAGATACTAAAATTCCATGACTTTTCCAGGATTTCCATGACCGTGGGAACTCCGTACTTTTACAAAAATGAAAATTTAGCAGCCGCAGGAAATAAAAGTAAGAACCGTGGCCACTTAAGACGAGCAGAGTTACATAAAACATAAAACATTTATTTGTTTGTGCAAATGTCAGGGACAAAACGACAGGTCTGCAATAATAATAATAATAATATTTTTTTAATTCAATCAAATGTGAGATTTTCAGGACCATGTGGGTCATTCAGAAAACTCTGGACGAGCTGCTTCGGGAAGATTTCAGCTCCAATCTCGACTGAACTAAAGAGAAAAGGAGCTGTTCACTTGGAAACTACCACCTGATGACATCACACTGTGGAGCAGAGCGTTTGAAGATGTAAACAGAGTCAGAATAAACAGACTGGTCCTCAGAGAGTTTAGAGTTTTAGAGAGTTTTAGAGAGTTTTAGAGAGTTTAGAGTTTTAGAGAGTTTAGAGTTTTAGAGAGTTTTAGAGAGTTTTAGAGAGTTTTAGAGAGTTTTAGAGTTTTAGAGTTTTAGAGAGTTTTAGAGAGTTTTAGAGTTTAGAGTTTAGAGTTTTAGAGAGTTTTAGAGAGTTTAGAGTTTTAGAGAGTTTTAGAGAGTTTAGAGTTTTAGAGAGTTTAGAGAGTTTTAGAGAGTTTTAGAGAGTTTTAGAGAGTTTAGAGTTTTAGAGAGTTTTTAGAGTTTTAGAGAGTTTTAGAGAGTTTAGAGTTTTAGAGAGTTTTAGAGAGTTTAGAGTTTTAGAGAGTTTTAGAGAGTTTTAGAGAGTTTTAGAGAGTTTTAGAGAGTTTTAGAGAGTTTAGAGTTTTAGAGAGTTTTAGAGAGTTTTAGAGAGTTTTAGAGAGAGTTTTAGAGAGTTTTAGAGAGTTTTAGAGAGTTTTAGAGAGTTTTTTTTAGAGAGTTTTAGAGTTTTAGAGAGTTTTAGAGAGTTTTAGAGAGTTTTAGAGAGTTTTAGAGTTTTAGAGAGTTTTTGAGAGTTTAGAGTTTTAGAGAGTTTTAGAGAGTTTACAGTTTTAGAGAGTTTTAGAGAGTTTAGAGTTTTAGAGAGTTTAGATTCTTACGCTGGGACTGTGAGTTGGGTTGTCCTCTGGAGCGCCCCCTGCTGTCAGACGGGTTTGTTCTGACTGTGCGCACTCGCCCTGGAAACACAAGAACAAGCAAACACCTCAGACACACGCAGAACAAACAAGAACAACACAAACACACGCAGAACAAACAAAAAAAACCTCAAACAAGCAAGAACAAGCAAAAAAAGTCAACAGAAGAACAAACGAGGTGTAAAAGACCAGAGCTACAGGACCAAACTGTTGACGTGTTATTTTCAGTATTTTCACTTCAGCCACAGAAACAAAAACAAAAGGAAATGAGAAAAAAAACAACTTTTATTTTGAAAATCTCACCGTCAGAGTTCAGAGCCCAGGAAGTGTCTGACAGGAAGTGAACACAGAGGTCAGAGGTTAAAGGTTAAAGGTTCAGTTAGAGGAAAGAAGAAAAGACACAACGAAGAGGTTAGGGTTTTAGTCCCGGTTTAGTCCTGGTTTAGTCCAGTCTATTCCTGGTTTAGTCCTGGTTTAGTCCTGGTTTAGTCCCGGTTTAGTCCTGGTTTAGTCCCGGTTTAGTCCTCCTATCTAGTCCTGGTTTAGTCCTGGTTTAGTCCTTAGTCTGGTTTAGTCTGGTTTAGTCCTGGTTTAGTCCTGTTTAGTCCTGGTTTAGTCCCGGTTTAGTCCCGGTTTAGTCCCCGGTTTAGAGTTTCCCTGGTTTAGTCCTGGTTTAGTCCTGGTTTAGTTTAGTCCTGGTTTTAGTTCCTGGTTTAGTCCTGGTTTAGTCCTGGTTTAGACCTGGTTTAGTCCCTGTTTAAGTCCTGGTTTAGTCCTGGTTTAGTCCTGGTTTAGTCCTGGTTTAGGTTTAGTCCCGGTTTAGTCCTGTTTAGTCCTGGTTTACCCGGTTTAGACCTGGTTTAGTCCTGGTTTAGTTCCTGGTTTAGTCCCGGTTTAGTCCCCGGTTTTAGTCCGGTTTAGTCCTGGTTTAGACCTGGTTTAGTCCCGGTCTAGTCCCGGTCGGTCCCGGGTTTAGTCTCGGTCTGGTCGTCTGGTCCCGGTTTAGTCCCGGTCTCTCGGTCTGTCCCGGTCTAGTCCCGGTCTAGTCTAGTCCGGTCTAGTCCCTAGTCCCGGTCTGGTCTGGTCCCGGTCTAGTCCCGGTCTAGTAGTCTCGTCTAGTCCCGTCTAGTCCCGGTTAGTCCCGGTCTGGTCCCGGTTTAGTCCCGGTCTAGTCCCGGTCTAGTCCCGGTCTTTACCCAGTGATGCGTACGACCCCGGGGGGAGGGCGGAGGCGGAGCTAAATCCCTGAAGGGAGGAGGGCACGGCGGCCATCTTGTTCCTGTTGGCGTTGGCGGCGGCGTTGACGTCGACGTCGCTGCGAGAGCGACTCAGAGCGACGGGCGAGAGCGCGGGGGGGCGGGGCGACGGACGCGACGACGGCTTGGCTGAAACAACAAACAGGAAACAGGAAGTGAACACACAAACAAACACAAATACAAAATAAAAGCCCCACAGGAAGTCAGGAGGTCAAGTTTAAAAGTCTGAACTTTTGAGTTTTAATGGACCGAGCCACATTCAGGTCTTCAAGTTCAACTGGCCTGAAATGCAGCGCCCCCCACAGGCCACTCAAACACCCACAAACAGTCGTCATTACAGGCCAGTTTCATTGTTGACAAAAGCGCGTGTTGCATGATGGGAATTATTTTGGTCGGCGGCAAGAAACACTAATTGAACATGACGGACGGAGCGAGAAAACACGTAAAGGGTATTGATCCTGGTTATTTCTCCACTCTAACAGCAGACGACCCAAGACCATTTGACCAGAAATTGGTCATAAACATCGACGGACGACAAATCCTCCCTTTTCAACCCCGACAGAGTCTGGACCAAACCAAACTTCTGGACAAATATTCACTTGGGCGACATCCACAATGACTTGGTGGAAACTCCTGGGCCATTCACAGCAGAAAAGATGAAAACCTCCAAGAGTCTGGATGTGTTGTTGAACTTGTTGAGTCCACGGTTTGTTAGGATCTTCTACGTTTGCTCTGCGGACGTTTGAAAGTCGTTTAATTCACCGTTAGCGGTTCTTTTCACTCAGAATATGAAAAAGACATTTTCCTTCTTCTGTGTTTCTATTTGTGCGTCTGATAATGCAGCAGGAATTTACCAATATCAGGAGAAATACAGGAGGTTACACACTGTGTTTGACGCGACCGTGTTTCTGCCTCCGACCAGAATATTTCCCAGCAGCAACGCAGACTTTTAATAACAATGACGTCATCTCAAACTCCACTATAAACACAACCAGAATTAACACATAAGAAGCCCTGACGGTTTTTGAGAAAATGTTTATAGTCCAAAAAATACAATATTTACAGATTGTGCATGAGTAGAAATGTGCAACTGAACCGTCCTCTAAGATGAATCAAACTGTTGATTGATGAAACAGTGAGACTCACAGCGACTCGGTCTGGACGAGGTTTTGGCAGGAAACGGGCGACTGAAAGATAAACAAACAAACAAACAAACAAATATAAATGATCTGTTTTTCTTCTCGTGACTGAAGCCGTCGTGACTCGAGGTCCTGACCTGAGACTCTCCTGCGACGACGACGACGATCGGTCCGACGCAGGAAGTGACGTCACGCTGTCGTTGCCGCGGAGATGAGCCTGAAGAGCCTTCTGATAGGACGACTCCAGAGCGTGGAACAGAAGCTCCGCCTCCCGACCGAAGTGCGAGTGAAACGCCCAGTAACACCTGAGGACCAAAAGAGTCAGATGCCCTCCCATCCTCCAGTGTGTGTCAGGTCCCTCCCGTGTGTCACGTCCCTCCCTGTGTGTGTCAGGTCCCTCCCATCCTCCAGTGTGTGTCAGGTCCCTCCCATCCTCCTGTGTGTGTCAGGTCCCTCCCATCCTCCTGTGTGTGTCAGGTCCCTCCCCGTGTGTGTCAGGTCCCTCCCATCCCCCGTGTTGTGTCAGTCCCTCCATCCTCCTCCTGTGTGTGTCAGGTCCCTCCCCGTGTGTGTCAGGTCCCTCCCATCCTCCTGTGTGTGTCAGGTCCCTCCCATCCTCCAGTGTGTGTCAGGTCCCTCCCCGTGTGTGTCAGGTCCCTCCCATCCTCCAGTGTGTGTCAGGTCCCTCCCATCCTCCTGTGTGTGTCAGGTCCCTCCTCCGTGTGTGTCAGGTCCTCCCATCCGTGTGTGTCAGGTCCCTCCCGTGTGTGTCAGCCTCCATCCTCCGTGTGTGTCAGGTCCCTCCCATCCCTCCAGTGTGTGTCAGGTGTGTGTCAGGTCCCTCCCATCCTCCTGTGTGTGTCAGGTCCCTCCCCGTGTGTGTCAGGTCCCTCCCATCCTCCCTGTGTGTGTCAGGTCCCTCCCCGTGTGTGTCAGGTCCCTCTCCACTCCGTGTGTGTCAGGTCCCTCCCCGTGTGTGTCAGGTCCCTTCCATCCTCCTGTGTGTGTCAGGTCCCTCCCCCCCTGTGTGTCAGGTCCCTCCCATCCTCCTGTGTGTGTCAGGTCCCTCCCCGTGTGTGTCAGGTCCCTCCCATCCTCCTGTGTGTGTCAGGTCCCTCCCCGTGTGTGTCAGGTCCCTCCCATCCTCCTGTGTGTGTCAGGTCCCTCCCCGTGTGTGTCAGTCCCTCCCATCCTCCCAGGTTGTGTCAGGTCCTCCCACCTCCGTGTGTGTCAGGTCCCTCCCCGTGTGTGTCAGGTCCCTCCCATCCTCCAGTGTGTGTCAGGTCCCTCCCCGTGTGTGTCAGGTCCCTCCCATCCTCCTGTGTGTGTCAGGTCCCTCCCATCCTCCTGTGTGTGTCAGGTCCCTCCCATCCTCCTGTGTGTGTCAGGTCCCTCCCCGTGTGTGTCAGGTCCCTCCCATCCTCCGTGTGTGTCAGGTCCCTCCCCTGTGTGTGTGTCAGGTCCCTCCCATCCTCCTGTGTCATGTGTGTCAGGTCCCTCCCCGTGTGTGTCAGGTCCCTCCCATCCTCCAGTGTGTGTCCAGGTCCTGTGTGTGTCAGGTCCCATCCTCCGTGTGTGTCAGGTCCCTCCCATCCTCCTCCTCCCTGTGTGTGTCAGGTCCCTCCATCCCTCCCGTGTGTGTCAGGTCCCTCCATCCCTCCGTGTGTGGTCAGGTCCCTCCCCGTGTGTGTGGTGTGTCCAGGTCCCTCGTGTGTGTCAGGTCCCTCCCCGTGTGTGTCAGGTCCCTCCCGTGTGTGTAGGTCCCTCCCGTGTGTGTCAGGTCACCTCCTGTGTGTGGTCCCTCCCGTGTGTGTCAGGTCCCTCCCCGTGTGTGTCAGGTCCCCCGTGTGTGTCAGTCCCTCCCGTGTGTGTCAGGTCCCTCCCCGTGTGTGTCAGGTCCCCTCCTCGTGTGTGTCAGGTCCCTCCCTCTCCCTCGTGTGTGTCAGGTCCCTCCCGTGTGTGTCAGGTCCTCCTCCCGTGTGTGTCAGGTCCCTCCCGTGTGTGTCAGGTCCCTCCGTGTGTGTCAGGTCCTCCCGTGTGTGTCAGGTCCCTCCCCCCGTGTGTGTCAGGTCCCTCCCTCCCGTGTGTGTCAGGTCCCTCCCCGTGTGTGTCAGGTCCCTCCTCGTCAGTGGTGTCAGGTCCCTCCTCCCTCCCGTGTGTGTCAGGTCCCTCCCCGTGTGTGTCAGGTCCCTCCTCGTGTGTGTCAGGTCCCTCCAGTGTGTGTCAGGTCCCTCCCGTGTGTGTCAGGTCCATCCCGTGTGTCTCTTACTTCCTGGCGACAGATCGAGCCTCAGAATCGGCGTCATGAATCCCCTTCTTTATGATCTCAGACAGAACCGAGCAGTGTCTGAAAAAACAAGACAATTAGACCTGGTTTAGTCCTGGTTTAGTCCTGGTTTAGTCCTGGTTTAGTCCTGGTTTAGTCCTGGTTTAGACCTGGTTTAGACCTGGTTTAGTCCTGGTTTAGTCCTGGTTTAGTCCTGGTCCTGGTTTAGTCCTGGTTTAGTCCTTTTAGTCCTGGTTTAGTTCCTGGTTTAGCCTGGTTTAGTCCTGGTTTAGTCCTGGTTAGTCCTTTAGGTTTAGTCCTGGTTTAGTCCTGGTTTAGTCCTGGTTTAGTCCTGGTTTAGTCCTGGTTTAGTCCTGGTTTAGTTCTCACCGTTCCAGGGCTGACGTTTGCCAAAGTTCCAGCTGTAGATCCAGAAACTGAAAAGATCGACTGAAATAAAAACACAGAGTCAAAGTTTATATACTTAAAAAAAAAAGGGAATAAATAATGATAAAAATATGAATAATAATAATATAAACATAATAAAACGAACCGTCTGACGGCCACAGATTTGGAGGCGCAGCTGTTTGTGATGATGGGCACCAGGCGAGGAAAATGAGTGTGCTACAAACAGAGAGACAGACTGGGTTAGACCTGGTTTAAGTCCAGTTTTAGTCCTGGTTTAGTCCTGGTTTAAAGCACTTTGAATGGGGTTGTTCTTTCCCCCTA